AAAAATGAATCAAAAAATTAGAAAAATAAATCACAAAAGGGCATTCACTTAAACTCAAATGGCACCAAATCAAATAAATATAACTTTTCAAAATAAAATGGATTAATTAGTTCATAAGAAAACACTTAGGACTAAATAGATCGACATTTCTTTATATGAGATTCATGGATAAATTTTCATTATAAAAAAAGCGTAAAAAAAATATTTTTAAAAAATGATTTAATAATTTATAATCACTTTTTAACTAAAAAATCACTTCCCTAAATAAAACTAAGAAATAATCATTGCTCTGACTATTCATAATATTATTTACAATAGTTATATTTGATCATGATAACATTTTCTTTTTGGGAAAATAATTTGCAAGTAGATTAAAAATATGACACATTATCCCATTTAAAATATTATATATATATATATATATCACCTGCATCTAACATTGAAGGCCACACTCCTTCAAAACTTCCCAGCTACTGCTCCCCCCATCCCCTTCCTTCCTCCCAAAACCAGGAGAGAGAACAAAAAAAAAAAAAAAAACACTTTGACAGAGAAAAGAAAGAAAGAGATGAGAACCAGCAACCACTTGATCGGCCTACTAAACTTCCTAACCTTCCTCCTCTCAGTCCCCATCCTGGGCGGCGGCATATGGCTCAGCACCCGAGCCAACAACACGGACTGCCTGAAGTTCCTCCAGTGGCCCATCATCATCATCGGCGTCTCCATCATGGTCGTCTCGCTAGCGGGCTTCGCCGGGGCCTGTTACCGCAACAGTTTCCTCATGTACCTCTACTTGTGGGCCATGTTCTTCATAATCGCCGCACTAATCGGATTCATTATCTTCGCCTACGCCGTCACCGATAAAGGAACCGGACGGCCCGTCCCGAACCGGGCCTACCTGGAGTACCACCTGGAGGATTACTCGGGTTGGTTGGAGGAGCGCGTGGCGAGTCAGAGCTATTGGGGGAAGATCAGTTCGTGTATTAGGGATTCCAAGGTTTGTGCTAAGATGGGGATGCAGATTGGGGGTGTGCCTGAGGCCGCTGATTTGTTCTATCTCAGGAAGCTCAGTCCTATTCAGGTAAACTGGAAAATATTTTTATTTTATTTTCTTTTACTTATAGACCATGTTTGTTTGGGCGGACTGGATTAGCATTCTCATGATTAATAGTTCTAGGACTACGAATCCGTTGGATTATCTATCCTATCTTAACTAATAGTCAAGTTTAAAATAATTAGTCCGTAATTCAATTGTTTAACCAAACATCGGATTAATAATTTTATTGGACTATTAGTCTAATCCCAAGCTCATGTCCACCCAAACAAACATGGCCTAAATGTATTATTAACTGATGTATTACCGGATAATGTAGTATTATTTTAAAAAATTTAGATATTTATAATTTATATAATAAATAGAATTGATAATAATATTATAATATTAATTGATACATTAATTAATACATATAATATTACCGTTTGAGGTATAAATTAATTTACTAATAAAGTCGATTCGATTAGTTAATGTATATATTTACGTTCGGACTATTTGAATCGAAAATATTTTATATGACTAATGCAAAAATAAAAGCTAATAAAAAATATTTTTATAATCAACATAAAATAAGTTTATTTATAAAAAATATTTTTTATTTTTAAAAAATTAAAAATATTTTCCGAATTAAAAATTTATTAATGTCATTATATCACCATAATCACCGTTATCATCGTCATCTCTCCACCACCTTAGACCTCTACTTTCGTTCCACCACCACCAAACATAAAAAAAATATTTTTTCCAAAAAATATCTTTTTTAAAAAAAATTATAAAAAATATTTTTCACTCATATAAACATAGCGCTATGATATTTAATATTTTTACATATTTATACATAATTTGAAGTCATGATTTTTGGAATTTTGTTTTTCTTAGCCCCAGTTCTTAAGAGTCCCCTTCTTTTTTTTTTAACCCCTTGCCCCAAAATTGTTTTCATATCATTTTTTGTTTTGAACCCGCACTATAATTTCATTTTTATCATTTTCAACCACACCACTACACTGCACCTAACTTTGAAAGCTCCCGCCCCCACCTTCAACGATTCTACTGATCTCTTCTTCTCCTCAGGTGACCCTCCTCCTCCTCCTCTGGCAATCGTCCAAGCACTCTTTTCCTTTTTGATAGCCTCTCATTCCTTCTAAATTTGTTTTTTCCTTCTTCTTCTTTTGTCATTGCTATTACCACCACCACGCTTCCTTTACTCCTCATTCTTCTTCTTCTTATCTTGTCGTCGTTTCCCATCTCCTTTTTCTCTTCTTCTTCTTCTGTGCCACGAAAAACCTAGATTAAGGATTTACAGATCGCAAATAAGAAAAATAATAAGAGAAAAAATAAATAAATAAAAAGAAGAGAAAAGGCGAAGGTAAAGGTCACGACACTACTAAAAAAGAGAGTTTTTGAGCCGACAGCATGCCATTGCAATTAGCATATTTGCCGACGCAAAAATTTTTTGCAACGGCACTGTGACGGCAACTCAAGAGACGAAAATGGTAAGGTCGCAAAAAATTTGAATTTTTTGAGACAGTAAACTGACAACGCAAAAAGTACTTAAATGTTTTAAAAAATCTAACCCATGGTTTCCTCATTGAGGCTCTTGAGATTCAAACCCACTTTAAACTTACAAAAAATAATTTGTAATTTAAGTAAACCCAAGTGTGTAATTTAGCCTTTTGATTTTTAATTTTTTAACAAAAAGCTCCATCAAACGTAAAAGAACCAATAGTGAGTTTTTTTTTTTTTTTTTTTAATGTAGAAATTGCTTTTAGAAATTTAATTATTTTTTAAGAAAGTATCTTCCGACCGCAAGTAGCAAATAATGTTAAAAAGAAGTTAAGTTGTGCTTGGAGAAGCTCGCTAAACACATTTTCATCTTTTTTGAGTGTGTTGTTTGTTTAGAATTTTTAAAAATTAATTTCATATTCATTTTTGAAAATTCTTTTCAAGGCTAAAAAATTTGGATTAATCAGTTGTCCGTCTCAACATCCAGTCGGTCATCTTTCCGAACGTTCGGTTGATTGATCGGAATAGTGCTATTTTTTTTTTTATTATTTACAATTGCCTCATGTTATTTTTTATATTTTAAATATAAAAAAAATTAGAATTTTTTATAAATTTTTATGAGTTTTGAATAGAATTTTGAGTTGTGTGTTTGATTATGAATTGTAAATTTTTATATCAAATATCATATGTCACATCAAAAATTTCTCACTCAATTCAAAATTCTTTTCAAAATTTACTCACCAAACAAAATTTTTACACTCATATCATAATTTTAAAACTTACAAATTCAAAATACAACTCTATTCTCAAATCATATTTAGAAAACTCTATCAAACGTTATCTTAGAATTTGAATACATATTTTATATATTTTAACTATGAAATATGGGTATTTCAAAAAATATCTATTAGGTCTGTACTGGGTAGTTATCGACGTATGATACTTCTACATACGTATTGGGTACACGAAATATGTATTCAATTATTTTCTTTTTAATTTTTGGTATACCTAGACATACTTAATATATACTCAAGTCGTACTGTGCCATACTGTACTTCAGTTGAAATAATATTTTGTTCTATTACTGAGATAAAACTCTTTTTACTAGATTTATTTTTTATTTTTGCTCTACTCTAAATTAAAAATAAATATTTTTTTACAAACTGTACTCATACCTTAATTTTTTTTTTTAATTTTACTATATTGACATATTTGTATTGTATCAATACTTGTACTTGTACTCGTATCCGTATTTCTCTTTTATGTATTTTAATAAATTTTTTTTGACATATATATTAATATTAACTAGAGTCTCCATTAGGCTGTGGTTAGCATTACATTTTAATAATTACTCAAAATTATTGTTGTACAAAAATAAAAGGTGTGTTTGGTTTAGTTGTAAGAGATAAATTTTAAAAAAAAAAATCAGTTTAGAATTTTTTTTAATTTATTTGGTTGTATATTTTAGAAATAGTTTTAAAGTATGGAAGTTTGGAATAATTTGATATTTTATTATAATTGAATAGATGTGTGTGAGAGAAAAAGTAATTGAAAAGGAAAGAGAAGAGAGTGAAAATGATTCATTGATGTAAAAAAATTTTAACCAAGCAAAATTTTAAAAAAAAAATTTCAAAAATTATTTTTTGAGAATTAAACTAAACAATGCCAAAATTGGTTAGCATTATATTTTTTGGTTAGCATTATATTTTTTTTGAAAACATTAAAAACAAAAATTAAAAATGAAATCACAATCAAACGGGACATATTTGTGGGTTTTTTTTTTTTTTTTTTTTTTTGGGTAGGCATTTTTGGCGTGATTCTAATTGGGTTTTCTTTTTGGACTTTTGTGGTTTTGTTTGTTTGCTTGGTGAAAAAGAAAAGCTTTTTGTGAATCTTCTTGGTCCCGCAATCCTCTTCCTCTGTTATTCTTTCTTACCTCACTTTCTTGTGCAAGTTTATTTTCTGACCTTTTCTCTCCCACTTCCTCCTTTCCGTGCGTTTTCTTATTAACCAAACAGCTACTAATCTCTTGCTTCAAGGTTATTGTTTACTAGTGGTTGTATTTCCAAGCATTGACTAGTTGTGTTGTGGCCCATATTCCTATATCCATATTCCATAATTCATCCATTTGCTCTTATTAACTTGGTGGGCCCTTAAATCAGATCTTTGACCATTTTAATAATAACAATAAAAGATAGGGTGGTTTATCAGTTTTCAATCGTTCATGTTATTTAATTCTAGATAAAAAATTTGATAATCCTAAAATAGCTTATAATTATTAATTATGTTTGAATGATGGAATCATTCATTACTAGTATGGTAAGCCATGTGATTTCTGATGTTCCTTGCCAGCCTTGTTGATTATAATAATAGGAGTTAAATTTTATGAAAGAAATATAAAAAAAAAAATTTATGAAGATTATTCATTCTTGAATTATATATATAGGTTTATTTTAGAAAATAGGTTAAAAGTTAATTTTTTAGTTTTTTGTAAAAATAAAAAAATGATATGACTCAAAAAAGTCAAAAGTTTTAAAAAAAAACTGTTTTTAACTTCTTTATCAAAAGAGGCCATATAATAAAACATCACAAATTAAGAATCTTTTCATGATATATATATTTTTTTTAATGAAATCTAGCATTACTCAATAATAATAATAATAGATAAAAATAGAATAGAAATCTAAAATCAATACATCTCTATTAATAAAAATGGAGGAGGAGATAGGCCAAGGTTCTTTTTCATATATTACAAGAATATAAAGAAATTATAGAGTACAATTTATACTAATAACATATAAAGTAGATTTTTTGAATAGAAAATATTATGAATTTCAAATAATTTATCAAATATTTTACTAAATCTCTTATATGGATATGGGTCTACACAAATTTACATGTGTGTGGATCTCACACTCATGTAAAATGATTGGTAAATATTTGGTAGATTATTTGGAGTCTCTAACATTACTTATATCATGTATTTTTTTTAATTTTGAAATTGACCTAAGAAACTACTTTATTTTTATTTTTGATTTGTCAAGTTTTCTTGAATGTTATAATTATTTATTGCAGTTTTCAATTCATCAATTCTTATGAACTGATTAATTTAATAATTATGAACAATTAAAATTTTGTTTTTTTGAGATTTTAATATAACACTCATCTCGACGCAGGTGTATAAATTCAGATTTTATACAGAGCACCATATAGTATTTAAAAAAAGGGGGGAAAAGGGGTCGCTGTGCTCAAAGCACAATAGTGACTCCGTTTGAGATGTATTATGGTTTTATTTTTATGATTTAAACCGTTATATTGTAGGGTTTGTTGAGTACTTCATGCTTACTGAAAATTATATTAATCGGATATCAATAATTATATGATCGAATTATATATTGTTTATGCCATTTCTTAAAAGAAAAACTTATTATTTATTTTTTTAGTTATTGATCATATAGTTATTGATATCCGATTAATATGATTTTTGATAGGCATGAAATACTTAACAAACCCTACAAAATAAACGGTTTGGATCATAAAAATAAGGCCATAATACACCTCAAACACAGGCGCCACAATCACTATTGTGCTTTGAGTACAACAGTGACCCCCTTTCCTTTAAAAAAGGACATTCTTTTGGAGAAAAGAAAAAGAAAAAAGTGATAGGTTATATTTTATGAGAAATTATAGATTCTTTTCGAAATATCACATGTTCATATTCTTAACAAATAATAATTTATTTTATCTTTTCATATTTTTTAATTACTCAATATAATACCTTATTTATTTATGTTTTTCACCGATTATAATATTACAAAATATCACATGTTTGTATTATAAAATTACTAAATAATTATTCATTATTATTTAAGTTTTATTTCAAAACAACGCTATTTTAAAATATTATAAACAATGCACCATATAACATTTATAAAAAATTTTCCCCCCTCAAAACTGTAGTAACGTGACAGAGTTGATTGATTAGAATGGGATAGGAATTGTAGGGTGTGTTTTGTTTGGTTTGGTTTTGGGTGATATATTTTCAAAATAAATTTTGGGGAAAGAATTTAGAAATTTTTTTAGTTTGTTTATCTTGGAGTATGAAAGTTTTGGAGTATTGACGTGTAGGAAAGAGAAATTGATTTTAGAAATGTTTTTAAAAAAATTTCCAACCAAACAAAATTTTGAAATTTTTTTTTCACAAATTATGTTTTAAGAATTAAATCAAACAAGGCTTACAGTGTCTCTCTCTTCAGAGTTCAAACATCTCTATCCCAGAGTGCATCATAATTAGTTTAAGAAGGCTGGGCCAGCGTTTGCCTATAGAAAACCGGAAAATGTTCAATTCCCCAATTGTTTTCTCCACAATATTAATCAATCAATTCTTTTCTTTATTTTTAAAATTACTTATCACTTTATTAACATTGTATTTGGTTAAGATAATTGGGAAATAATTTAGAAATGGAAAAAAAAAAAAAAAAAGTGTGAAACTAAGTAAAATATAGATATATTTTATTTACATGTTACTTATTTTTTTATTTTTTCTTTTTAAATCTCTTTTCAAAATTTTCAATTAAACACAACATAAAGGAAAGTTTGGAGAGAAAAATTAGGAGATGAAACATTATTCTAAAAAACAGTGATTGATTAAAAATATCAACATTTTCTACATTTCTCTGTTGATGTGCTTGCTACCTACTACAACCTATCAAGTCATTTACTTTCCTAAACTTCTCCTTCCTCGGATTATTTTTAATCCAAAATATGCTTCACAAACAGAATCTTTATGAAAAACTATTCAATTAAAGACTGTTTGGTAATAAGCCTGATCACTTCCAATAGAAATTCAGTTAAGACCATGTTTTGATAACATTTTGCTTCTGGTGTTTCTCTATTTTTGAATTTCTGTCAAATTTTTTTTGTTTACATAATAAAATTATTCAGAAATAATTTTGTTATATATAGTTTAGTTCAATTTTATTTTTATTGAATTTGAGGACGAATTTGAAAACAGGAAACTACAGACCAAATTCTAAACAAACCCAATAATTGATTCAGTCACTTTCAATCCATATTTTTATGGTGGTGGGCTAGATTTTACATCATGAATTTGAGTGGTATTGAATTTTTTTTCTTTCTATTTTACAAATTATTTATTATTTTAGTTAATAGTTGAAACACGTCGTCAGTTTTTTAAATATAAGTTCCAATTAACCATAAAAAAATAAATGTGTACTTCTACAAAAACAAACATAAAAAAATTGAAATCACAATCAAACAGGGTATATTTATGGGGTATTTTTTTTTTGGGCGGCTTTTTGGGTAGACGTTTTTGGCGTGATTCTAATTGGCTTTACTTTTTGGAAGAATAGTATATCCTCTATACTTAAGTGAGAAAGAACACAGAGGTGAGGAATATGTGATAAGAAGCTTTTTGTGAATCTTCTTTGGCCCCTCAAGCTTTTTTCCTTTGTTATTCTTTCTTAAACGACTTTCTTGTGATGCAAAGTTTATTTTCTGACTTTTTCTCTCTCCCACTTCCACCTTTCCTTCTGTTTTCTTAGAAACCAAACAGCTATTAATCCCTTGCTTTAAGGTTTAGTGTTTACTAGTAGTTGTATTTCCAAGCATTGACTAGTTCTGGCCCAGACTCCTATATCCATATTCCATAACTCCTCCATGTGCTCTTATCAACTTGGTGAATCCTTAAATCAGATCTTTGACCATTTAATAATACCAATAAAAGCTAGGGTTTGGCTCTTTGGAAGGATATATTGGATTAACAGTCGTGAGATCTACTTAAAGAGTGTTTGGTTAGGGATATGAGTGAGGGGATTAACTATTCTCTTGGGGCATGTTTGATTGGGTGGATTAGAGCATGGGATTGGGATTATTAATCCGTGGGTCCAATTATCCTATGTTTGTGTTAATATTTTGATTTAGGATTATTAATTCAATGGATAATTAATCCAACAAATTTGTAGGATTATTAGTAATGGGGTAGGGGTGGGATTATTAATCCAATGGATATTAATCCAATTGGATAATGAATACCACACTAATTTAATAAGATTATTAATACTTCACTATTAATCTTGTGAATCAAACATGACCTTGGATTAGTAATTTCTCCATGTAGTAGGACTAATAAAGCCATGGGGGGGATTAGGATCAAATGATGGATCTAGAGGGGGTTAGGAGGGCGGCTGCACCTCTAAAAATTTTAAAAATATCATATATTATATTAAAATTTTTAAAATAATTTAAAATTATAGGAGTTTGCACCATCAAATTTTTTGTAAATAATTTCAAAATTATATAGAGTAGCTTCTCAATTTTTTAAACTATAGAGTAGCCCCTCCAAAGACATAATCCTGGATTCGTCCCTGGTTGGGATTAGAAATTGAGTAAGGGAATTAGTGAAATTTTAAATGATTTTTAAGCAAAATTTATATTTTTAGAATAAAAAATAATTTTAATATTAAAAAAATACTAAAACTTAAAAATATTAATTTTATATGTTAATACTATTTATAATTTTACTAATTTGGTGGTGTACAAACAAACATTACCACTCTTTATCTTACATCTCCAACTTAATACCATTACATTAATAATTTTTTTACTTAATTTCACTATATTCTTAATTCCTTCCCTCCTATAGAGGTGTTTTATCAGCTTTCAATCATTCAGGTTATTTAATTCTAGATAGAAAAATTTGACAACCCTAAAAAAAGCTTATAATTATTAATTAAATGTTTGTAGGATGGAATCATTTATTACTAGTATGGCAAGCCATGTGATGTCTGATGCTCTCTCAAGTTTCATATTTGGGGTCCCCAGCCTTTTTATTATAACAAAATAATACTAAAGATTAAAAAAAGGAAAAATTACATTCACATGTGCCAGTTAAAAATTATCTATAAATAAATAAAAAATATTTTAAATATTAATAATTAATGTTATAAGCTTTTATTAATTTGTAATTTTTTTACTTTGAGACCACTGTCAAGTAATTTCCCCTTAGAAAATAAAATACAAATCTAAAGTTTATATTTATAATAAAAATGGTGGAGAAGGAGATAGACCAAGGTTCTTTTTCATGTATTAAAAGAATAGAAAGAAATTATAGAGCACAATTTTGAGTTTGAACAAGTTATTTCAGTAATTTTTAGTCTTTTATGAAAAGATGTGTACAAAAAATAAAAAAAATAATATGATAATTTATAATAATTTTTTAATTGTTTGGCCAAAGCATGGAGTTGTCATATATAAAAGTAGATTTTTTGAACTTATGTCGTGTATTTTTTAACTTTGAAATTGTCCGAAGAAACTATTTTAATTTTGATTTCTCTAGTTTTTTCGACTGTTTTAATTTTTTGTTGTTGTTTTCCGTTCATCAACTCCTATTAACTAATTCAGTTTATTTCTGACCAATTAAAATTTTGTTTCTTGAGATTTTCATACCATGCTAATCGCATGTGTATGAATTGTATGTAGACAATGGTGTCTAAAAATGACTAGGTTCTTTTTTTATTATTATTTAAGTTTTATTTTAAAATAACGTTGTTCTAAGATATTATGATCAACAAAAATGTTTTGGATATATGATAAAGGAGTTCTAATAACTCTAATGGGGTGTGAGTCTCGTTGTGATAGTGACTTTCCATGTTATTAGAATTTATTGATTTAGACTTAGTTTGGGGTACATTAAAAAAGTTAAAAAGTTAATATCTTATTTAAGTCACATTATCTTATTTAAGTTACATCACCTCTCTATCACATTATTTTAAATCCAACTCATATTTTAAAAAGTGTATTTATTTAGATTATTCTAAAGTCCCCACTAGAAGAGTGTATCATTATTGGATAATGAATGCACTGCAAAGAATCCGACACATGTACGACCTTTTTTATTTTTATTGTTTTTGGGTCTAAAAAACTGTAGTAAACATAGTTGATTGATTAGAATGGGATAGGAATTGAAGTGTAGTTTTTCTCTATCTTCAAAGTTCAAATAATAACTCTCCCATGCTGTGTCTCACCATAATTGGTTCGAGAAGGATGGGGCCAGAACTTGGCTATAAAAAAACCAGTGAATGATTAGGACACACTCAAATATCAACATTTACTACATCTTTCTGTTGATGTGCTGAGTTTGGATAACATTTTGCTTTTGCTGTTCCCCTATTTTTGAATTTCTGTCAATTTTTTTTTTTTTTATATACTAAATTTACTCATAAATAAATTTGTTATATATAGTTTAGTTTATTTTTATTGAATTTAATGACAAATTTAATAACAAACAACTATAGACCAAATTCTAAACAAAATCAATAATTGATTCAGTCACTTCCAATCAATATATATATGGTGGCCTAGATTTGACATCATGAATTTGAGTGATGTTGAATTATTTATTTATTTTTCTTTTCTATTTTACAAATTATTTATTATCAAACCATGAAAAGTGGTTTAATTGACTGTTTGATTTGTTTTCACTGTTCTCATTCTTTGATTTGTGCACAGCTTCTAGGACTTAATAGCTGAAACACATCTTCAGTTTTCTTTTTTTTCTTATAAAAAAATTCAAGTTCCAATTAACCTTAAAAAATAAATAACAATTAGTAATAATAATAATTGAAACACATTTTAAACTAAAATCTTCATTTGCTCTATGCAGTCTGGATGTTGCAAGCCCCCTACAGATTGCGGGTACAGTTACGTGAACGAGACAGTTTGGAGCAGCGGAGGAGGGCTCGCGGGAAGCGACATGGACTGCACCACGTGGAGCAATGACCAACAGCAGCTATGCTACGACTGCAACTCCTGCAAGGCCGGTGTTCTGGCCAGCCTGAAAAAGAGTTGGAGAAAGGTCTCCGTCATCAACATCATTATACTGATCATCATGGTGATTGTTTACGTGGTCGCTTGCACAGCGTTTAGGCACAACCGTCGGATTGACAACGATGAACCCTATGGGGAGACCCGGATGGAGAAGGCACGGCCTAGTAGGATACAATTCTAGCGAAGGTGTTTGGTTGATGAGAAACTGTGAAGTTTGATGAAGCCTTAATGTGTAATGCTATTTTGAATGGTTGGTTTTTGTGTTGTTTTGACAATATGTATGTAGGTTGGATGTATATGTTGTCTTGGTGGTAACATTTCCCTTTATGAATCTTCCACTGGGAAAAAAAAAATTAGAATTTATGCATTGTACACAACATAGGCTTGGGAAATTATCAGATTTCTAGTGTTGTATGAACAATGATGACAATGGTAACTATTTGTGAAATTATTTTTTTCTGTTTTATGTTTTGAAAAACATGTTTAGGGGATGTTTGGAACAAGATAAAATAGTTAAAAAGTCAATACAAAAAGTTAACTTATTTCTTTACCTTTTGCATAAGTTAAAAAATTCTCAAAAAATTTAATTCTCAAATGAACCCTTATGCTGTGTTTGGTTGAGAGATTTGAGGAGGGATTTGGAAAGGGAAATAGAAAAGGTATGTGAAATGTGAAAAAAATATATCTACATTTCACATAGTTTTACACACTTTTTTCCTTTTCTTTTCCAAATCCCTCATCAAATTTCCCTAACCAAACACAACATTAGTTAATTTGCTTGTCACATAAAAAAAAACCTTTCGAAAATAGGAGTAGAAAATACCAAAGCAAAATTAAAAAATATAAAATTATTTAATTGTTCTGAAAATTGGATCTTTCCAACTGTGAAATACTGCCCATTAGTCGGAGGAGAAAGGGTGTCAGGTGGATCTGAGTGCAACTAACAACTACTAGTATAAATAATAATAGTCATATACAATTAAAAAAATTATACATCAATTTTATACAAAAGATGTGACAAATTTAAAATTAAAAACCCATTAAATTGAATTATATTTTTAAATATGTCATTGTATCATATCCTATTTGTCAAAAATTCTTTACAAAAAATTGTATTTGAACAACTGAGCAAAACGTGCTTGTCAAGAAAAAGAGGGGGGGGGTGGTTCTGCCGACATATGCACCACCCTCATTCATTGTTTTGAGACTTTTGATAACGAGTAATATTAGGTATCATAAAAAAAAAATTATAAAAATGATCATAAAAAAATTATGATTTTTAAATTACATTTAAAATAAAGTATCATATATTAATTAAGATAATTCAAATATCATAATTATTTCATGATCATTTTTTTAAAAAAAAATTCATGATCCCTAATTTTTTTCTTTGATAATAGTTTTTGCCTTTAATTAATTAGTCAATACTAGGGGTGCAACTCGGGCAGATTCAGTCGGGTTGAGAGATTGTCCAAGCCCAGCCCAAGTTGTGTTGAGCCCTGCCCAAGCCCAAATTGTAACTCGAGATTGTCTGCTCAAGCCCGATCCGAGTTAAATCTGAATTGTCCGAGTTGCCCGAGTTGTAAATGAATTTTAGTTTTTTTTTTTTTTGCAGTTACATTATTAAATTATTAAAATTTGACTCTACTTACATTTTTTTTAATAGAAAATCATTAATACCATCAAAACAAATAATTTATATAATGTAAGAGAAATGTCACTATAGTAGTCTTTACAATTTATGTGTAAAAATAAAAAGAAAAAAAAGTAAGATTTTATATTATTTGTATATATCATATATATTCAATATGATTTAATAATATAAATTACTTTAATATCATTTAGGTGCAACTCGGGGGCGGGTTCGGGCAGGTTTAGAGGTTGTCCAAGCCCAGCTCAAGTTGTGCTGAGACCTGCCCAAGCCCGCCCAAGCCCGAATTATAACCCGAGGTTGTTTGCCCAAGCCCGACCCGAGTTAAACCCGAGTTGTCTGAGTTGTAAATGAATTTTAGTTTTTTTTGCGGCTACATTATTAAATTATTAAAATTTGACTCTATTTACAATTTTTTTTTATTTATAGAAAATCATTAATACCATCAAAATAAATAATTTATATAATGTAAGAGATATGCCACTATAATTGTCCTTACAATTTATGAGTGAAAATATGTTATTTGTATATATAATGTATATTCAATATGATTTAATAATATAAATTACTTTAATATCATGTAATGACTAATAATTTATATGTATATTTAATATTTTTTTATATTTTATATGTATGTTTAATATTTTTTTTATATCTATATATATATATAATTCGGGCTTCGGGTTACTCGGATTGTTTGACGTCTTTGTCCAAACCCACCCAAATTTAATTCGAGCTTCTAAATTTTTACCTAAACCCGTATCAAATTTAAAAATATTTTATTCGAACCTTAAAAAAATCAAACTAAGCTCGAATTACTCTGATTGAGACCACCCAAATTGCACCCCTAGTAAATACTGATCTCCTCTGATAATACCATTTTACAGACACAATTGGCATTTTGTAATGCTTGAGCACTAACAAAGTCACGTGCAAGCTTTGAAATATCACCACTTCACGTGCTAACCTCCAAATTAATTGAGATGATATTGTAAGAGGAAAATTCAGGAAGAAAGAAGTTGAATCGAGACAGCGGCGGAGGCAGCATAGGTCAGGGTCACGTGCCCCCTCAGTTTTGCAAATTTATTTATTTATTTATTGTTTTGTCATGTATAAAAAAAATATATATTAACATGTTCTTTAGCTAATAATTTATTATATTATTTACAATTAAGTAATTATTTAATATGTTAAGTATATTATGTGATATTATTTATGTAGTAATTTAAATTAATAGTATAACGAAAAATATTATAAATTGGATATAATGAAGTCATTATTTTTAAGTAGTTGACATACCACTGAATGTGATTTGTGATTTTCTATGCTTTGAGTATTATGTAAGTAACGTCATATGGTACTCTAAGACTGTTTAATAATTTTTATTCAAAATACACCATTTATAAGTAATGTCATCTCTTTAATATTTTTCTGTCAAACAAAAATTAAATAGATTTTATAATAATTTGTGTTATAAATTATGTGTTTTTATTTTTTAAAATTAAGAATTTTGATCCGTAATTTTTGTACTAAAATTATAAACTTACATCATCATCCCGCACAAAGCAATTCCACAATTTTGATTTGTTCTTATTAATAATGAATATGTAATTTTTTATGTTTAAATTTATCTCATAAAATCTAATTTTCTGACTCCGCCACTTCATCTAGATATATATAAATGAATTGAGAGTTAAAAGAAGTAGAAGGTTGTTAAATCTTGACTTAAAAATTAATTTATTTTCAAATAAGTATTTAACAAGAGCCAAACAGTGTCGATAAGTTTACCGAATAATGTAGCAAGTTGTACAAAAAAATAAAATTTTCTTTGAACATCAAGAAACTGTAGTGCCTCATTTTCGTCTCATCTCACAACAGATGAACAACTGAAAAAACAATAAGAATGATTATGGAAAATTGCAAACATGTATGTATGAAAAATCAATCATGTGCTATATATAGAACAACATGAATACAAATGTTAATACAAAAAATGTGAAACTTCATACAGGAGGCTTTACCATCATTCTTGATAAATTCATTATGTTACTATAAAAATGTGCAAGTTAGTTCCTAAAACAGTATATAAAATTTAAAGTAGTAACCAAAAATTAAAAATTAAATTAGTACATAATGAACAAAGATTGAACCCAATCTCTTACTTAGTTCCATTTGCTGCTATTGTTTTGTCCTCGCGGCTTTGCTCTGGACTCCACCTAGTGATCGTGCGTTCTTCAACACTATAACTCTCCAAACACGATGGAGAACTAGCACCGACACCACTTTTATTAATGCGAAGAACTAACCATGTCTTTGCAACACTGCCACAAAGTCGAAGTGTGCACTGAAAATCAGACCAAACCCTCAATCGACCATTTGCATTGCCATCTCCTCCTGATAAAACAAGAACAGCATATTCGGAATGCACTAGAGCTGGATGGTGACGGTAGTAGGAATGGCAATGGGGGGCAATGGGGTGGATATTAATTCCCCATCTCCATTCCCCTATAATAAATTTTCTCCATTCCCCATTCCCCATTCCCCATGGGTACCACCCTCCCCCTAACAATCTTGAGACAGTTTAGATTGTAGCATAGGTAAAAGGCTTCCTCCATACCAAGTTGAAACCACTGCTTATCCTTCTGGGCTGTGATAATGGGTCGACCAAAACATGAACGATTGAGAAGTGCAGTTTGTTCTGTTTCCACTTCAAGAAGTACACTGCATCCTGAGAGTAGCCCACGAGAATCTGATTGGATAAGAGAAGACTTAAGTTGAGAGACTATCTTGGACATGGGATCGGCAAGTGCTTTAGCTTCTGATTCCTTTCCTTTCCACCGTGGCCCCATTAAATCCTTCAAGAAAATAATACAAATCTATTAACAAATGTTATTTCCAACCTCAGACAGTAACCTATATGAGAAAATAATAAACAGTAGAAATTGTTTGAGGCCAAGTTTCAATAACTTTGAAATAGGTTAAATGTCCATCCAGACAGCAGTCAGAGAAGTCACGCCTGCTATACATACAGCTAAATGGTTTCAAAGCACGTCTTAGAAGATGAAATTTATCAAATACATAATATTGCAAGCAAAATTTTCAAATGTTCTGAAATTATACATGCCTAGCAAACTATGTGCTTGCTTTTGCATCTATTCTTTAGAGCCAATACCATATATAATTCCTCCAAGATTAAATCTGATACGTGTACATCATTAAAAGTTCTCTCTTTTAATCAGCAAAATATGAAAGATGTCTCGCTTACATATAATGGAACTTTTTCTTAAGAAATGTTTCAATTCAACTGTTAAGTTTCCTTTTTTTTTTTTCCTTTCGTCTCCTCCCCAAATAGGCATAATGAATTTTTTTTTCAAGCTTTGTCATAAAAAATCCACTAAACCAAGGCACACCCAAAAAAAAGGAAATTCAAAAACTATAAATAGAGCCTCAAAGTGCATTTAACCAATGATTAAAATAATGTGCCTAAAGCCTAATTTATCAACTCCCATGGGGCACATTAAGCTGCATCATAAAAGATAATCTTTCCACTGTGTTTTGAAAAGTATATGAAACCACATCATTTTCTTCTTTATACCCACTAGACCTTTTAAATAGGTTCCTAGTGTGCATGTTACACCATGAACATATAAAACCTTATCTTCATGATATTTGAGGAGACAACTTTATCTTTGGATATCAGTCCTTCGGGAAAAATTAAAAAAAAATTGTGGGGAAATGAAAGTATAAAGATATCCAACAACAAACATCAAAACCTAAACAACTAATTTTTTCTTTTTTTGGTGCAATG